CCACTTGTTGAGATTGCAGATTATCTGATAGCTAATGGCCCCAGGCTGCTGGGGAATATTCGGCACATGAGGGCTTCGTTGTCTGCATGCAATGTCATGGCCTGCTTGTAGTGACGGATATGATCAGTGGGGTCTGATTTTCCATCGTAGAGAGTGAATGACGGAGCTTTGAACTTCTTAGGCAGGGTCGCCCTTGCAATCCGTCGAACAAAAGGATCGTGCTGGTCCTCGTCGTCTGAACTGCTCCTCCTGCGCTTGTTCCTTATATGTAGACTCTTTTCAGAGGATCTGGAAGTTTCAGATCGTCCCTTTTTGTTGAGCTCCGTGGTTAATGAGTTGGAGTCGCTATCGGTATCCTTTGGTCGGGCTTGAGGTCGTTGTCGACCGGCCCTCAGAGGTCGTTCGGGATCTTGGCGCATGGCTTCTCTCGATTTTGTGACTTCGAGGGCCAAATCTTGACGGAGACATTCATTTTCAGCGATCATATTCTCCAGCATTTGTTCATTCTGCTTTGCTTGTTCGATGATCGCCTGCATTGTCTCTTGCGTTGAGGTCATTGGTGAGTCGAAGTTCAAGGCGCGTCTTACAGTGATGGTTTCTTTTCTGAGCATATTTGCTGGAGTGAGGTCATCTCCCTGTGCGGTCTCGTCAATGGCTGCCGGAGGATCTTCAGTCACGTCTGCCATGGATATATTTGAGTATTCCCACAGACGGCGCCAATTGTGGAGAAGTAGTTAGGAAATACTCTTCGGATCCGAGAGACGCTAGTGATCCTTAGCTAGTCACCTGAAAAGATACAAACACTCCGGTCGGGGGTATCGGAATTAGCACTCCGACGGACAAGTTAGTTCAGATACTCAGGGTAGCTTCTTTACTAAGTTTTGTAAAGTGATTCTCACATACCTTTTTATAACCGTTGTTCCTGTATTTATACCTGTTCTTTTTTATCCTCGGGGCCAGGGCCTACTTTTTAATCATTGTCCTTTCTTTTATTCGGCCCTAAGGACTTACACTTATTCGGCACATATATTATATTCGGCTCCCCACTCCTGTAGGATATAGCCGATTAATATCAGTCTTCTAATGGTATGCACAATTTGATTTATCCATGTATTCGGCCCTCACAGTATATTATGCTAGATTGTTTCTGCTTGGCTTTAGCTTACTCTATTTGAGAAAAACCATTTTCAGGTGCCGGTGATATGCCTCCGCCAAAACAGTAGCTTGGAGGGATTGGGAGCAAGAGCTTCTATTTTGTTAAATATATTTTTGTATAGCCAAGTGCTTTAAATTGTGTTAAGTTAGACTCACTTTTGTTGTCAACAAGAACTATCTTGGGAAGATGTAAGCTCATAGGGCATTTATTTCGTTGATCATTTAGTTTGGTGTCACATCTTATAAATTCAGGGTTAAGCTTATGAATGTGTAATGCATCTGCCATTTTGTAAATGGACTCTGATTAATAAAAGCCTAATACTCTGTTTATGTCATTTTGTATTAGTCTTTACTGTTGAATTATTGTATTATTTTTTGGGCGTTACAACTTGGTATCAATGTATACCGAATACTTTACGTACGTGGGGAGTGGTTAATACCACAATGGGTTTGTCTCGCTTGTTAGAGACTTTAGTACGAACAATATGTGCTTATATGATAATATGTTTATGTGATTATACAGGTAAGAGATTTAATTTCTAGAATGTTGATTGAGTCTACGGATCTCTAGAAGTCCTATTAGAAAAGCACTTGATCACTGCTGTTTCTAATTGGAACTTTGACAACGCCGCGGGACGATCATTATTCGGGAATGAAATTCGTATGTGTTTATGTGACTACGTGCTTATGTGGAGTGAATTACCATTGTCTACCGCATTAAAATGTGAGTGAATTAGCTTCGACACATTTGTAAATGTACTAATCTCTTTCGTTACCTTCTTTAGAATGTTAGGACCTAGACGTGGTGGTAGACGTGGTAGGCCTAGACGGCAGGAGATGCCAATACCGGGTGATATTCCGGCACAAGAGGAGGGTGTTGGTCAGGCCGATACCGCAGCCTAAGTGGTTTGATTTTTACCCACCACAATTTGGTATCGTCTATGGAAATTCGACACCCAAAAGCCTAGCTCCACTTGTTGAGATTGCAGATTATCAATGGCGACGGAAGATGCCAACCCATTTACTGACAATGAACTTGATGTGAACCTCTCCCCAAGCCAACAAAGGCACCATTTGAATGTCAAAACGTTGTAAGAACGACGTGAAAAACAAGAGAGAAACACTACAAGAAAATGAGCTATTTGAGTCCCATTATTTGTGACAGAAACATTTGCTGACTCAAAAATATGTTATTAGAGTCGGCAAAGTAGAACCGTCTCAAAAAAAATTTACTTAGTGTTATTATTTGAGTCGGCAGACTATGCCGTCACAAAAATTTTTTATTTGCGTTGGCCAAATTGTTACCGTCTCAAACAAAAATTATTTAATTTTTTTTTTTCCATTTTTTGGCTCCAAAAACTACATCGCGCGCCTTTTTTTCACGCCATTTCAGGTTACTTTTGCGTCGGTATTCTGTGCCGTCACAAAAAGTAATTGAAAAAAATTAAAACGACATAGTTTTAGAGGCTGATATATATACCCTTCCTCTTTATTTATTTTTTTTTCTGTTTTTGCCCTAAATTCAATCTTGGTTCATCACTACAAACAAACTCTTCATTGACACCACTGATTCTCCTCTCCACCGGCACCGCCGATTCTCCATCTCCACCGGCACCACCGACTCTCCTCTCCTCCACCAACATCGCCGACTATCCTCTTGCGGGTAAGTGCTCTCTCTCTCTCTCTATATATATATATACGTATATATATATATATAGAGAGAGAGAGAGCACTTACCCGCAAGAGGATAGTCGGCGGTGTTGGTGGAGGAGAGGAGAGTCGGTGGTGCCGGTGGAGATGGAGAATCGGCGGTGCCGGTGGAGAGGAGAATCAGTGGTGTCAATGAAGAGTTTGTTTGTAGTGATGAACCAAGATTGAATTTAGGGCAAAAAGAGAAAAGAAAAAAAAATAAAGAGGAATGGTATATATATCAGGTTTTAAAAACTATGTCGTTTTAATTTTTTTCAATTACTTTTTGTGACGGCACAGAATACCGACACAAAAGTGACCTGAAATGGCGCGAAAAAAAGGCACGCGATGTAGTTTTTGGAGCCAAAAAATGGAAAAAAAAATTAAATAATTTTTGTTTG